AATACTTGAAGAGCAGGCAGGCAATGCTTTCATGGCAATCCAAAGAAGATGCTACTGGATTTGTATTCTAGACTTGCTAGTTCTGGCAGCAGTGGGAATTTATCTCGAGGTGCAAATATCAGCAGGGCTACCAGGGTGGCTTTCTGCAGCTGAATATTTAAATAGGGTCCAAATTGTGATGCTGGTGTGTAACAGCTTGTGGGTGGCTGAGCTGAAGGAGCTCGTTTGAAGCTCAGGGATTGCTGTGTGAACTGCTGTCACACCTTGGGGTTGCAGTGAAGATATAATCACAGAGACCTCAGAATAAACTTCTCTCCACCTAATCTTTTCACATGTCTCTGAACAGACAGGTGTGTGCACCACTCCTCTGCCTCCTTAATGCTTTAGTGGAAGGAGGTTGAATACAGCTTCAGGCATGAGGAACAGCCTTATGGTAGGAAGGTGACTTGTGCCTTCAAAGGTTTGGCAATCCCTGCTTAGTTACCTTCTCCTGAGGGAGCTGGTCCTGGAAGTACCAAGGAGCACAGTCTGGGAAGGAAAATGCCTTTATGAGGAGGAGAGGTAGGAAGCAAGAGGTAATGGAAGAAACAGAGTTGTCAGTAGAGTCTGCTCTGGCTCTGTGGGAGCTGAGTGTGTCAGTCTGGGCTCTCTTCCACCTCCTTTGGAGCTCCCCCAAAGAAAGGTCCAGGCCTGCAGTGGGGCAGGAGGGAAGGTGCTGGGGGCACACCATTGCCATCAGTGCCCAGCCTGCATCCTGTGCAAAACTGTGCTGGTTCCTTTCAAGCATAATCATTTTTCCCCATTAAAAATACCTTTAAAAATGCTCCGACTTTTTAAGTAAGTAGTTCTGTTGGCCAGTGCTACTGCAGTACACACACAGTGTCTCAAGAATGTGCATTGGCCTTGCTGAGGCAAGGCTGGGTGAGCTGGAAACTTGTGGCTTTGCTTCTGTAGCTCTGCTCACTGTGCACAGGCTAACTCCACATTTTGCACCTGCCTTGAAAGCAGTTTGAAATCAAATCATGGTGTTTTGGTGACTGGAAAATGGGATTCTTCCAGGGAATCTCTTAATGTCTTTTTGTTTTGAAATTGTGATTTTATTACGGTTTAGCTTATGAACAATTTCTTACTGTGGTGACTCTTTGTTCATGTGTACAGGCTGCAGTAGTTAGATAAAGAGCCCACACTGTAGTCCTGCACCTCTTGATTTGTTGTGGCTCTGGTCAGGAACACAAAACCTATCTAGGCAAGCAGCTTGCCTCATGCCTGATCCTTGTTTGAAGCCTGAACCACACACTTCCAGGAAAATTTGCCTTTCCCAAAGTATTTCCCCTAAATGAGAGATAACTTGGGCCATTAAATGTGAGTTTGCATTCCAAAAGCCTCAAAATCAGGTCTTTTATATTCACTGTTTGTGAAATGGTCATTAAAAATGTCAACAGTATATCTGAATCCTGCACTAGATCCTAGAAACCCTCTGACCCTGTTTGTGGATGAGGTAAGACATGTTCCTCTTCCCCATTTACTTGAAATTCCCTCCCTATCTAACACTCCACACCCAAAGACCTTTTATCCTTCAAATTGCTCTTGAAACTCATCTTCATGGCCAGTGCCTGCAAAAATCTGATAACTGCCTTGGTGTCTTTGTTAGGTGCTTAGACACTAGGCCTAGTAAAAGTGCCCTAGACAGGGCATTCCTCTCTCTGGGTTTCCCAGCAAGTCCTGTCTCTGTGCCCACCCTGATCAGCACTCCTGGCTCGGTGCTGCCAGTGCTTCATCTCATTGAGTTCCAAGCTCTACATCAGCATTACCAGAGTCTGGTTCAGCTGGTGAGACACTTGAGGAGGTTAGCACTGTGTCTCCTGTATGTTTGTTCAGTCCTGAAAATACAGAATGTGACTAAGAAATAAGAGGAGATAGCACACCATGTGCCATGGAATCATGCAGCCATCCCAAGCAGCCAGCAGCGCAGTGGGAGGCTGTCTCAGGAAGGCTGGTGCCTGCTCTTGGCTGTTTTGGATTCTCCTGGGGCATAAGTATGAGCTTTAATCCAGGCAAAACCTTGTCAGCAATATGTGGTGGCTTTGCTTTCTTGAATTTCATGAGGTGCTGAGACACCTTGGAGCACATCTCCACAGGCAACACGGTCATTGTCTGCAGCCTGGCTCCAGCTCTCTGCCTTCCCAGCATCTAGAAGGAGAAGGGAAAGTCAAAAGCTCTATCATTTTCTTGTATTCTCCCCTGGCCTATCATTGCTTAATTGTATTCCTAAATCTTATTACAGTCTGGAGTGAGTCATTGCCACAGTGAGATGGAAACAGAGTTGAGTAAATATAAGAGAGCAGGAGTGTCTTCCCACGTGAGTGTGCTGAGCAGGAGAACTTCCACAGCAAGGGAACTACTACTACCACTTCATAGATGTGTTGCATCATCTGCCTGCTGCTGCCTCTAATTTCATGCTCTGAACCCAAATCAAAACACCTGTAGTCCAATGAGAATATAAAATAGACTTGGAGAGGGACATCCATGCCAATTAGACATGCTGATTTCTCTTAATCATCTGAGGCCTTCCAAGCTCACATGGGACTTATAATTGTGGTTCTACCTTGTCCTGTTGCATTGACTTCCCACAGAACACACTTTCCTCTCCACCACCAGGATAAGGTGGTAGGATTAGCCCAAGGTGTCTGTATTTCAGTATTCCAAAAGTGTTTTATTTGTGGCTACAGGAGTTGAAGCTTGTAAAACACTTCATGGTCTGTTGTGGGAGGAAGCACTGTAGGACTATGAAGCCATTGTCACTGGGCAGAGAATTTCTTTGCCATGAACTGGAAGCCCTTCTCTGCCTTGCTGTGGAGGCACCTTTACATTCCCTTTACCTTTTCTGTTCTGGTTTCTGATGCAAATCCATAAAAATCTTCTTTCTGAGTCTATGTTTCCATCATATCCCAGGCTCCTGCTCCTCATAACTTTAAGTGGCTTAATGTGCCTCTTTGGCATTCTGCAATGTCTGGGAATATGTTGCTGTAGACAGGGCAGGAGCCTTTCAGGGAGCATTCTGCAATGTCTGGGAATATGTTGTTGTAGACAGGGCAGGAACCTTTCAGGGTGATGGAGGGAGCTCTGGTCCTGTGTGTGTGTTCCATCATGGGACTGGGAGCACAGGATCCCAGAGTAGTTGAGACTGGAAAGAGCTGGTGGAGTTAATCTACTCCAACCCCCTTGCCCAGCAGCAGAGTCAGTAGGATATCTCATTTCTGTGCAGCACAACTGAGTGATGCTAGGAGAGCATAGCAAAACATTGCACTTGGTATTTCCTCCCTTCCACATTGTTCTTGAGAATGTCCATAAAATTGGGATTGCAGTCCCCATTTCCTGAATCTCAGTTTGTGTCCTTTCCCCTTTCACTGGGCAGCAGTGTGAAGAGCCTGGTGACTCTGTCCTTGCCCCTCTGCTATCAGTAATCATACACATGGATAAGATTTCCACTCTTCCCCACCCTCAGCTCTCTGCTCAGGGCTAAATAGTCTGATTCTATGATGAGAGAGTAGGGAAATGGGGATTGTGGCAGGAGGTTGAGCTCATGTTTCTGGGCAGATACTGTGGGCTACAGCCCACCTGAATGCTGTCCCCACTAATTGATGATATACAAATAATACAGAATAACTCAAATGAGCTTTCTTGCTTTTTCTGTCCATCTCTCCATCTTTATTTTTCCTTTAGTACCTTTAATTTATGGCTGTTTTCTTGGCATTGTCCCAGATGTCTTCTGGGAATAGTTATCTCTGGGTCTTTTATCTCTGTGTGTTTGTCATTTAGTGTGATCCTGGCAATTCCAAAAGCTGAGATATTTATGGTGAATGAGTTCAGGTTGGTGCTCAGTTGGTTCTCGTGACCTGCAGTGATGAGGAGAATCACTTTGGATAAAGCCTCTGGTCAGAATTTGAGCTGGAGGTGAACTTTTATAGGTGTTCAGTAGAGCTGAATGGCATTGCTCGGATTTTTTAAGAAGAGAAACTTGCATAGCCTCAGCTTTGGGGAAGACAAATAAGCCTAAATAAGGAAGTCTTAGATATAAAGAGAGAAACAATCTCTGTTCCAGACTCAGGAAGTCAGATGCAGGTTTTTTAGACCATAGACAGATGTTCAGGCCTGTGGATCTGCATCTGAGGAACTGGTCCAGGTACAACTTGGCAAACATGTGTCCCCTAAGATGAGTTATAAAAGCTCTTTCTGGGTTTCCCTGTTAGTTAGCTGGTTCCAAAAGCATGGCTGATCTACAGACCTGATATCACCTGTGTTAGAAATGTTAAATCTGCCTGAATGTGTAAATACTACAAAACCTGTTAATTTTGCTTATGCCAATTAATGCACTGGGAATTCAGGGAAGAGAGAAGGTTAGATTTGGTTCTGCTTGTAGTTGCATTAAAGTAAAGCATTTAGCCACTTATCCACCTTTATTAAGCTATTGTAAATTTATTTGCTGCATTTGTTTTGGAAGTGAAACTCCCCAGAACTAGTTAAATACGAAAACCACCATCATTGCTCCTATCAATGTGTCATATCTCCTCCCAGCAGAGATTTGTTAAAACTTGTCTTGGATTCAATGTGTATCTTGTCGAAGCATTTGAAACACCTAAGGTGCAGGATGAGTTTCCTGGGATTTCTGTAAAGTAACAGAAGTAAGGGATATGGGTGGTGTAGAAAACACACAAAAAGAAAACCCTGGTCTTATTTAAGTAGAAAGGAAAAACCAGAGGGATTTGGGATTTCATTCCCAACTTCACTGCAGGATGTTGTATCTGCCTGGCTCTGCTTTTATTGTAGTCGCCCAAAATCATTGAGTGTGCATATCTAGAAAAAAACACTGTGCAAACTTTAGAAGTTGTGTGTTTAAACTACTAGAATTTGAAGCTTTGCTGATGCATCACACAAGGCTTCAGTTGAAAGCTTTTCAAAGGCTGAAGGCACTGAATGTGTTCTCTCTGTTTTCCTTGTAGGTGTGTTACTAGACATCCAGCAGCACTTTGGAGTCAAGGACAGTGGGGCTGGCTTGTTACAGACAGGTAAGTGTTTATTCTCTCCCTGCTTTTTATAACCTCCCTCTTCTCCAAAGGGTGCCTGCAGATTTCCTCAGTTATGGCCCTTGGGCACACTGGTTGTGAAATTTGCTCTTACTAGGAAGATGAATAAATATACTCTTACTAGGAAGAGGAATGAACATGAGGGGGTTTTGGCTTTGATTTGCAGCTGGGTAGGATATTGGGACTCACAATGACTGAAGTCTAGAATGCTCCAAAAGCAAACAAACCTAATGATATTATTTCCAGCAACTAAATTCAAATAGCAGAGGGTTACTTCCCCTAGATCAGAAAACTCATGATCAACCAGCAGCAGGTTCCTGTGGTTCTCACTTTTTTAGGCTGGTAATAAGGGAGATGTATGATGCCCTTAATGTGCTCTACAGAGAATCTGCTGAATGTACAGCAACTGGGAGTACAGTGTGGCATGAAAACATAAAACTCATCAGGACAAGTACCTGAGGATGAAAGCTGCAGGCAAGGCTAACAATCACTGCATCCATGGGAGCTCATGGAATAACAACAGCCCTATGATTTCAGTGCTGTTAGCTACAGACATTTCTCTCCTTGTGTTCAAGGAAGGGTTATTGCAATTCTGATGTCCTTTTAATGTAGCAGACATTTGAATGTCACAGCCATCTGTACAGCCCCAGGACAAACCCAGCTCCTCTGCTCTCTAGTCCTGAGTGCCTGTGGCAGTGGGCTGGATGTCATGGCATTGAGGAGCAGTCTCATGTAGCCATGACAGCACAGCTGATCCTTATGGAGAGTTGAAAGAAGTAGCCAGAGAGGAAATGCAATATTTTAAGGAAACGGTCTGGTTTGGAAACCTCCTACAGAATTATTAGTTGGAGTCACAGATTTGTGGTGCTGTGGTTGTCTTGTCACTGTCATCTGTCTGTGGGAACCACACTGGAACAATTACATCTCTGAAAAAATGAGAATTCAATTAGGTTTTGAAATAGTGTACCAGAGAGACATCTTTTCTCATGCTATCACAGTGGATACCAAGTGCCTGTCAGGAGCTTGTCTGTGAAACTGGCCAGCAATAGATTGTATAAAATCATTCTTTATGACCCCACTAGAGGTGAGAATGTTCCTGAGCTCTGTCGTTTGCTCTTTGATTTCAAACCATGTGAACCACTGCACTATCTCTTCCTTTTTTTATTTCCTGCAGCCCATAGAGCTCAGGGCCCTTATCTGTGCTCACAGCTTCTTGGGAATGTTGTAACACAAACAATTAGTAACAGTTTGTATTAAATGTTTTAAAATGCCCTTGTGGGACAGCAGAGCTCAGTGAAGCTGATGTGAGCAGCACATGTCCAGGACAGAAAGTCTGAGCTTTGCAAGTGTCACCAATTAAAGTAGCATCAATCAGTTATGCCCAGAATGGCATTGGTTGTCCATCAGGCTCTTTTCTACATCAATTATTTGTGTTTATTTATTGGACTGAGAGGAACAGGTCCTCAATGTATCGTTAGACATGAAGTGCCTTCAAGAAAATATTCTGGTGGAAAAGGACACTTGCCAAAGTATGTATTTAATCTTCATTCCCCTCAGTAGATGAAATCCTTCTGCACATGATTTATTGACAGCTAGAAAAAGCTGAGCTTCAACAGGACATTCATTTGTTAATTGCAGGAAATGTTATTTATTCCTCTAGCAAACACACAGAGCATCTAAAACAGCATCACTGAGATACTGCAAGATTGCTCTTGAGAGGGTCAAGTTTTCTAACAGATAATTGTTGCTTTAAGAAAAGCAATACTTTCTCTTGAGTGTGTTTTTTCTGATCTGAAAACTGAGGGCTTGACTTTGCCTCTGCAATATAGATAATAATGTGCTAATCACAGTGCTGTCAGAGAGAAAGAGTGCTCACAAAATGAAACTCCATTTCACATGAGTAAGGGTAAAAGCCCATAGCTGAAAATGCATTAAATGTATTACTTCAGCCTAACAAGTGCCTGTGCTGGCAGCTGGCCCATGGCCCAGGTTCCCTTCACCTGGTGAAATAAAAGATGCTGCCCTGAACCCCCCAAACATTGCTTTTAGCTGTTGCCTGTTCTCTAAGCCCCTCAAATCAGGGAAATGGATGCAGAGGGCACAAGCCCTTGAGCTGAGCTGCAGAGGAAGCTGGAGCAGAGCTGGGCTAGGCCTGGTGTCTCCCACACCTCTACCTTAACCTTGAGCAGTTCCTTTGCCAGCAGAGATACAACTATCATTCACTTCCCAAGAGATGGTCCTGCTAACTAATTGAGCGATGTGAGACGAAAGGCTGCTCATCCTGAATGTGTCCTCTGAATAAAGAGTGGATTAGGCCTCAGGTTGTTAATCCTGCATCTAAATGAGCCCTAAATTAATTTACAATGTTAATGAGGGGGAGTGAAATGTAGTATTTGCTGGCAGTTCATTTCACCCATCAAATAGGCTTTAAAATAAATAATTAAAGATATCCTTTTCACTGAGAAACAAGGTTGCATGTAATTTTAGGAGGAGATGGTTCTGAGAACTCAAACAGCAAAGGGTAAAAAAATCCACCAAGGATTCATCCCAAACCCATTCTGTGCAGGCACAGCCTTTCTGGTAACTCTCTCCCTCCAAACATTCCAAAGCCAATTCACACACTCTCAGTCCTGCTGCTCCCTGGAAAGCAGAGGTGACTGGTTCCTTAGGAATTGCAGAGACACAGTTTGCATCTTTGTCTTCTTTAATATTAATCCCAAGACACGAAGTGCTCTTTGCCCAAAAGATATAATCAAAACCAGTTAGAGGGACAGAAAAATCACAGGGCCACTCCAGCCTCATCCATAATGGAAAGGAGCAGAACGTGGTAGTCTCTGCAGCAAGGATCCTGTGACAGCTAAGGACACACTGACAGATGGAGCACAACTGCTGCTTGCTCAGTAGTGTTGAAGAGTAACACACACAGAACTGTGTTGACTCAAGCCTCAGTTATCTGTGGATGATGCTGTAATTTTGTGTTCATCTTCCTTTGTAAAGCACTACATGCACAGTTACATAAATATTGAATTCACTGTCCCCCAGGTATGCATCCAAACTTTTCTGTGCTTTTCATTTCTTACTGGCTGCTTTTCCCACCTGGACAAAGGATAATCCTGGTTGATCTCAGAAGGTGGTAGAGCATCTCTTTGCCTTTGTGAGCTGCACAGCTGTAGGCAGTCAATACATTTGTAAGCCAAACTGTACAAAAGTCTTTCCCATGTGTGTAATTAAGCAGGAGCAGCAATTTGGACTCACCAAAACTACAGGCCTCTAGGAACACAGAGACTGAGAAGATGGAAAGCCTAGGCTGGATGTGAGGAAAAAGTTTTTTACTGTAAAGGTGGTGAGAGACTGGCACAGGTTGCCCATGGATGTGGTGTCTGCCCCAACCCTGGCAGTGTTCAAGGCCAGGCTGGATGAGCCTTGAGCAACCTGATCTAGTGAGGAGATGTCCCTGCCCAGGGCAGGGGGTTTGTACTAGATGATCTATAAGGTCCATTCCAATCCCTAAATTCTATGATTCTATGATTTGTAGAACTGCTTCAACACAGTGTTATCCTTCCATATATACTTAGACCACAGGAGCAGTGCTATACTCTGGTTTTGACTATATTTTTCCCCTTCTTTCTTCAATTTTTGTGCTTTATTGCTCTGTCTACTCTCCTTGCCCTAGGATTTATTTTGCTTTTGTGCCTCTTGCCAGGGTCTATGTAGCACAGCAGAGTTCTAATAATAGTAGTGCCTGGCTCACAATACAGTTTGTCTTCTGAACATCTCAGGATGTTTTATATCATGAGGGATAATGAAGCTGGTCCTTTCCTACAGATGGAGAGACCAAGAAAGCCAGATGGGAGACATGACCTGCCCAAAGTGGCACAGCAGGCCTGGGGCAGAGCCAGGGTGAGAGCTGTGGTCCAGTTCTTGAACACACAGCATTGAACAAGGTTAATGCTTATACCCTGAGATTTGGGCCTTGTTAATGGGTAACTGAATGCTCCAGCCCAGACAGCTCCAGCTCAGGGACTTCTGCACGTGGAAACTGGCAGGCATCAGATAGAGGGTATGGCAAGGATTCCATGGAAATACAGAGCAGAAAAGTGTCTATCTTCAGAAGGAGCATAGGGATATCATTAGAGGAAACCAGGGGAAGCAGAAGTATATACCATAAGGTCAGAAGTCAGGAAACATAAGGAAGTGAGAGACCTGGAAGGACTCATTAAAGGTGAACAATCCTAGGTAACTGGGGCTCTGAAGGAACTTATCTCTCTCACATGCAGGGAGATAGGCATTCCCCCAGATATCTTTCAGCCTCTGGTTTCCCAGAAAGTCTAGCAATGCCAAGTAGGCTTGGCATTGCTTAAGGCTTGTTGTGAGCTCATTTTTCCCATAAGGATCATTTCCAACTAAAACAAGTTCATTTTTATCTACCTGAGCTGCCCTCTAACCTCCTGAGTTGACCTGGTGTAACCTTGCAGTAGATTGCAACCTTGCAAACACACTATCAGCTCTGATGTGCTGTGACTGTACCCACTGAGCTGTAAGCACCTGCACTGAGTAGGGGACCTGAAACAGTGGAGTGCAATGGCAGGAGAAATCAGACTTGCTAAATCAAAGGTTTCTCTTTCAACTCCCTTTGACTCCCATCTTCACATCATTGGCTTATGATGTCAGGCTGTGCTGCTCTAACATTTTTATTTATTCCACCTCCTCTGGGTGATACCCCTGAATATGTGTATATTCCATGAGCTGCAGGTGCTGTGTGTTTCTTTTCTGCCATCTGCTTCTACCTGAACAAATGCTGTCTTGCTCCTCAGCTGTGCTGTGCAGAACTGAGTCACCTCTTCATTTGTCACTTCCTACTGCACCTGCTTAACTGTTCTTCTTGCTAGAATGGAGGAAATTATATTCTGGGCACTTTGTATTGTCATGGGCTTTCCTTTTGAGTCAATGGCTTCTTATACCAGAGCACTCCTCAAGGCACT